AAAAAAATAAGCATAACCTAAAAAAACCCCTGCTACTTTAATTATTATATAAGACATACATTGGGATTTAGATTATGCTCTACACATTGATGCAAGATAGTCTGAACCTAAAGTTTGCAAGATTTAATTTTCTGTTGCTATTAATGAATTTTACAACAGCAGCTGCCCCCTGTGGCTTGGTATAAAAAGCAGTGTGTATACCTAGCACAACATTTGCAGACCTCCTCAGTTTTGTGTTTTTAATGTGATGAAAAATTGCACGAGTAACAAAGGAAAATGTCATGGTAACTAAAACATTTCCTATACATGTATTTTAGAGTGAAGTTAAATCAAAGGTCTTCAAAGAATTATTAGGGTTCTTTCTAGGAGGTTATTGACAAATATGTAGTTTGTCTTCTGAGTTTGTGCCTCTTTCACAGATTGGTGTATTTGTGATCCCACAGGCAGGAATAAGTGTCTGTAATTCATTTCTCCTTGTTAACTAGTGTGCTTTTGTGTGTAGAATGATTGACAGCAAACTCGGCTTAGTCCCAATGGATGAGCTTGTTAGCAAAACCCTAGCATCCTATCTCTAATAAAGCATATCAGCAGTACATTTTGTCCTATCTATTAGCCTCTCTGTTTCTTTTTTGTGAAAAGCTGAGTGTCCCTTTGAAGCAATGACAAATAAACCCCTGAACTGAAGTGCTAGGCTGCCTTATGGACAGCTGGATAGTAAATGTCACACCGTGTATAGAATGCCTATTATCAGAGTGAGCCATTTGTTCCATTCCTTTCAGTATCTTAATGTAATACAAAATTGCTAAATCAAGCCCCATGTCTGTGACAGAACATAATTAATGAGAAAGCAGGAGCCAATTCAACACTCTTTATTGGGACCTAATTGGCTCAGGCAACAGAGTTGTCACTCAACAAGAGACTTCCTTTAAAGCAATTTTGTTCTTGGTTGTATTACAGAGCCTATTAAATTGTCCCCTCCTTGATCACACAAAGAAGTATCTGCATGCAATAATTAGCTTTTCCAAGGGGATTTTTTTTTAACTCTTTCAATAATAGCACATTTTCAAGCACTGCTGGAGGAAACAGACAGCACAGGGAGATGTGCAGCCTGTGGACTGAATAATTGTAATAAATGCATTTTGGAAAGCCTATGTGCAGCGTATCAAAGCTACCACTAGTACATGATGTAGTGGCCTGACTTCAGAGAAGGTTGCAGGTCAAGCTGGGCATCTAATATTTGCACTCTGTGCAAACTGCTCAGCTAAAGTAGCAAGTGAAAGTGTAGAGGTACGGATTGTTTAAAAGAGTGCACTGCTTCTGACATAATATTAAGCCACCATGGTGAATGAGAGGTCCTGTTTCCCAGGTCAGTATTTGGATCTTAATGACACTAGAATGAGCAGCTGCTCATTTTGAGTAGGAATCAAAACCTAGGAATCTTTTTTTCCTGTAAACACCCATCGAAGTTTCATGGACTTTTTTTAATCAGTAGGTTGTTGCGGCAGAGTAAACTGGAGAGGGAACTCTGTAAGCATTAACAAAAAATTTTTTTCCCCACCCAAAGACTGAATATCACGTTTTGGAGTTAAACAGTACTAAAATTGACTAGAAACTGCTTCTGTAACTTTCAAAAACATAACTCTCTACCACTAAATAAAAGACAACTTATCAAAACCAAAACACATCATGTCTTGCAGTCCAATGATTTAACCACCATCAAGAAGGTTCAGATGTGTTCACATATGTCTGTAGCTTGCAATACATAACTTATTTTCCAGCAGATTTCAGCTGTAGATACTAAATTTCATAAGAACTCGTTTGAAAACCAAATAACAAAAATGAGAGGGTCCTGAACCAGTTGAATATCTCTGTGTTTAGAAAGACTTATCATAAGTTTAACATTTCCTGTTCAGTCTAGAATGAGAGTTAGTATTGCAGTCAAAGACTTGGCCCACGTTTTTGACAAAATTGTGAACATAGAATCCTCTCTGTTACCATCTTCTGAGATGTGTATATGACTCACTCACAACTCATTGCACCTGTTGAAAATAATTCGAGAAATACAATGATACAAAACATCATGTTATCTATTTGTCTGTCTATTATTAATTGATATTTAATATTGGTATATTAGTTGTTACTTTCTGAGAATCCTAAGTGAAAGAAATCAATATATTTGGTGTTTAATAATCAGAAGATCGTAGTACTTCTTCTTATGTCTCCCAAAGGCTAGAACGATGTCACTAATCATATGGTTAATTGTGTGCTATCATTTATATTATTCTTTTCTTCAGGGTAAAAAAATCCAGGTATTTCAAAAGGAATGATGAAAACAGAATTGAAAGAATGCAGAGCATTTTCTCCTTCCCCAACTCTCTCCAAATAAATACATGTTTAATGGGTCTTTGCATATGCTATCTCTGCAGTTTTATTAAGTTATTGTCATGAACACATATTGATTTGTACATTTTACATGGCTTTTTTGGTGGCAAAAGTTCATTGACATCTGCTCTAATATGCATACAAACTAAAACATTTCTAATATCCACCCCTTTGAAGAGTGAGCTAGAAGAGAATACATAAGTATCTTACAAAAAACATTTTCTGTTTTTTCAGATTTAAGAAAGTACAAGACAAAATCCTAAATGCAAATGGCAATCTACACTGTCCTTTCCCAGGTGACTTATGAAGAGTAGGAAAGCAAATATTCTGAGCACAGTTTTATAAGCTTATTCTAGTAACAAGTGAAAGTGATTAAAAAACCTACATAATCTAATTTTCTTTTATTAATAATTTACAATAGATATTATGTGAAATTGTATATTATGATTAACTCTATATAATCTAGAATACCAAAGGATACTGAAGGATTTTAAAGAGTATACTATATTCATCTGCTGAGATTTCTGATGAGTCAAATTAGAATGTTAAAATAATACACATTTAAACTGAAATATTGCACAGACTTTCAACAAACAAATATTATGTGGAAAAATAACCATGGAAAAGATATTTTGGGAGTACATTCAAAACAGAACTTATTTAAATGTTGTATCAAATAAAAAGTTTCTCTAATATTCAGGTTTTGTCAAAAAAATACTTGAGCTCCTAAGTGAATTGCCAAGCTTCTGTAGTTTTGGCCATCGTAACTGTATAACATGAGTTAGATGCCATGCTGTTTGAATCTAACACAAGACCAAAAGGCTGTTTCTCTTGTTTCAGAAAACCTTGGGCCAGATATTAGTAACAGCCTCCTGACAACACATAGCCAGAAGTTACATATCCCCACGTCTGTACTTTGAAAATCACTGTCACTGATGACATAAAAGTGAGGCCTAATCAAAAGAGAAATATGACATCACTTGGTTGTCATTGCAAACAGAATTAGAAGTGTGATTCTAGGACTAGTGATCATTAATAATACAGTAACTATAAAAAAGACAATTCATATTAGTTGTGCATTGTGTCTCTATTTAATGTATAAGGACAAGACCTTGCATTTCCATTAGCTGACAGTGGTTAGCAATAAGATGGGAATAGGACACAAGGTTTTGTGTGTTATACAAGCAAAGTTATTATGATGCATAAGGAACATTGTTTAGATCTGTAAGTTTCCCTTCTTACATATGCAAGGACCTCGAACAGATGTCTCAGTAAGGGCTGGTTTACATAATGGCTTTGAACTGTTTTCTTGTTTTGATAAACAAAACATTGTTATTATTAGTAAATCTGGCAAAAATGTCTGAGTCAGGACAGAAAATCTTCCATCATCTTTTCTGTCTAGTATTATCTGTAACACCCCACAATTTTATCCTATGAAAACGATGACAAATTCTTCAGCATACAATTTTCCAGAATATTATGAAATGACACCTTTTTCATGTAAATGTTGTCTGCTTTCCTCATCTCTTATAAAAATGTAGTACTATGTGCTCTAATAGCTTGGTCCCAGTGGCCTAATTTTACACAGGTCATTGTATTTCAGAAATGAAAATACTGAATGCTCTAAGTAGTCTTGGATTTCTAGGCACTGGCTCTGAGGGAGTCTGCAACCTCTGAATCTGTCATGTAACCAGACTTTTCTTCAGCACAAAGTATGATTAAAAGTAATAACACATGTCATACCACTGTGGCAATGCCAACACAGAGGATGCGTTTCTACAGAACAGATGGTACTTGCAATGCTAAGAAGTCTATTCTCTTCATTTTACCTCATTGTTGCTTGGCTTCTGTGCTTCTGTGCCTTCTCACACACGTCACACATTTGAAAGTGTGCACAATGTCCTCTTTCTAAAGGGCATGAGCATATGAACTCGTATAAACAAGATCGGAATGCAGATTAATTTATCTAGAGCATAATTCAAGAGACTTAAAAAAATAATAGTATATTAGCAGAGAACCGCATAGCTTTTATTTTAGAAACTAAGGCACTGGTAATTTTGAAAAACTGGGAAAGGTGATATTCATGTAAGACATAACAGGGATTAGTTCACCTCCTATGCTACAGATACTAGTGTGAAATACAACAGCTTCAGGAAGTGCTGAGTAAACTACATGATAATTTAAGACTGAACATTATGAAGAATAATTTAAAAGACAAAAGAACTTGAGGCAGGCAAAATTCCAGCTGACCTTGATCCAAAATTGATGCTTTTGTAAAAAAATCATGGGAGACTTGATGACTGTAGAAGTTTTCTAAATATCATTCACATGTTGGCATGTCTAGAATTTCAGTAACTAAGATACCAAGGCAAGAAGTTACATTTATAAAGAACCAGAGGAACAAGTACCTTATATGACCAATATATATCAAAGGTCTTTAGTTCTCTTTGCAGGTCTGTAAAACCTTTAAATTCATATTTATGCAGATTTTGCTGATAACAAGTTGAGGAAGAATAGCTTCAAAGTGTACAAAAGGAAGAAAGTTCTGACTGTTACTGTTCTGGCCTACAACTCAGAAGGTTTATGTTCCGCTTCAACAGATACAGCACTGCCTGTTTGTTACTCAGCTAAGTTAGAAGTGAGGTTCAGGACATGGACATAGTATCAAGAAACAGGAAGAGTTAGAACTACTTCATTGAGCAAGAAGGAGCGATCTGCTGTGAACACACCAAAACTAGTCTACTAAGGAATGAGTCCATATGTAGTGTCATAATGAAATGTGATTTCATTTTTGATTAACAAGAGGATGAGTAATGGCACTGTGTGCCATTTTACACATGCTTTTGGCAGCCTGAAAATGACAAAAATGCTCTGAAAATTAGGCAAAATTAACTGCCATAGTCTATCCACATATTACCTGAAAAATTCTGAAAGCCTGCTCAATCCTCTCCCATGGCTGCTATGGGATCCTCTGTACTGAGAGATATTTAATATTCAGCATGAATAAAGACTTGGAAAAATGGTAGCATATGTAGCATTTATATTTTAAAATCACCTGCATAATTCGCCTTAATTTTTTCCACAATCATTCTTTTCTGCAATCAGTCTTGTATAAAAGGACCTGTTATAATAAATTGGTCAGCCTGTTACATGTCTGCCTATCTTGGTGGCAAGACTGAGAAGCTTGCTAATTGCATGGTATGCCATGGATTTCCCAATGGCTGCTACACCACAGTGACTCACAAATTATTTCGTTCATCTTTATTTCTGCTAAGTAACTTTGTTTTCTTTCTCTCTGATTCATATTCTCAGGAAGAAAACAAGAAAACTTCTTTTAAATCACTGGTCTTTACTGGGTTATGTCTGAAATTTAAGTAGGACACACATAGTGAAGTAAAAAATAAATTATTCTGCCCTTCGTTATCTACTCAGTTAAGGGATCTTCAGAGTTGTGAACTTCACTGCCCTAGACAAGACATACTGACACAATATGTAGCAATTTTCATGAATATCTCATGGAAAAAGAATAGCTTTTCTGTGTTAATCAATGATTAATTGTTCAAAGTTAGAGATCTGTAGTCCTTGGAATCTTTCAAAGTTTTTGTTAAAGCATCATGAATCCTTCAGACTTCCTGCAGTCTATCTTAACGTTGAAACTTATATTACAGGTTATGATCCCTGTAAATAGAAGGCACTTTGTTATGTTCATTCTGCATTGTCTTTCTTACTATGGCATTCTAACCAGACTGTGCTGGGATCTGTTGGCAAATGCAGTTCATTACTGAGGATCCTTTTCTGTTAGACCCTTCCTGGCAGTCCAGGAAATAAAAGATGATTAGGAGGAACATGAATAAAACTCCTTCAAAAGCTGACATACGTGTTGACTGTGGGTGAATATTCTTCACAGCTCATCAGTGGAGGAACAAAATGACTTTAGCACTGTACTTCTTTAAGACCTTTAGGTACACATTTCATTTTGGCTAGGAAGTCTATGTGAAATATATTTTAGCATCTCAACAGTTTTAAAAATAACTATGTAAACAGTTCACCCCCAGACAACACATAAGGCTTTATTTGGGGGAAAGAAATTGTATGATAAAACTGACAGCCACTCTTTATTCAGGATAGATGTAGCAAGCTGTTACTACTTCTTTTTTGAACAAGAAACATTAAAAAATGATACCTCACTTAAATATAAAGCTGCTTAGACACTAAAGTGTAAGGAGTTGCATTTCTCTGGTAAGAATGGTAAGTGGATGTGAGTCTATCTGTGTACAGATCACTTAGGAAAAGTCAAATAAAGTCAAATAGTCAGAGAAACAGTCAAAATGCCATAGAAGCATAAAAGTAAAATGCCCCTGTAGCAAAAGAAAGAGCGAAAACGTCTATGAAGACAGGAATCATGGGAAAGAGCTGAGAAATGTGAGAAGACAAATTGTCTCCAGCTACTTGATTCCTGCCGTGTTCATAGAAAGAAGATTTTGAAATTTATTTGTAAATGAACAAATTCTATCAAATGATTTCTCTCCTCTAATGGAAATAATTCAAAGCATTCTGACTGCTTATGACTTAAAATCAAAAGGAGGTAATTGCTATTAGGTTCTGTATTGCTATTTCAGAAAAGCCATATATGAAACTGTTTAGTGAAAACAGCTTGCAGACAGAGACTCAGCTAATCTGACTTATTTAAATATTTTAAAAGTAATTTACATGATAAGTCTCTGAAAATTTCAAGGCTCACTATATACTATTTGTGCATGCAGAATTGATAAAGTGTATGTAAAATCCCAGGCTAAACCCCTGAATAGTTACTAGGCTTTGTGGATTTAGGATTATGGTACACATACTGCAAAGGAAAGTGGTAGAAAATAGTATTTAGCATAATTTCTGACTAATTATTGGGGAAAACCTCTGATGGTATATTTCTAAAAGGTTTGAGCCACCACTTCTCAAATAAAGAGGAAATCTAAGAAAGAAATTCAGTTTTAGAAACCAAATAAAAAATCTTCAGTCACAACGATAATTTGAGTTGTATGGAAATGTGGTGCCTACAGAGCTACCATGATATATGCAAATAAACATTTCATTATTATGAATACATGACCACTGAGATTTATGGAAGTGACTTTTTTATGCTATATTATATTTATTTTTAAGAAATTATGCCTTTGATTACAATTAATTAGTTATAAATTCAGTTTTAGAAACCAAATAAAAAATCTTCAGTCACAACAATAATTTGAGTTGTATGGAAATGTGGTGCCTACAGAGCTACCATGCTATATGCAGATAAGCATTTCACTATTATGAATACATGAGCACTGAGATTTATGGAAGTAACATTTTTTATGCTATATTTATTTTTAATAAATTATGCCTTTGATTACAATTAAATAGTTATAATGTGCTATTAAATATGAAACATAGATAATACCATGTAGCTGGACTATTTTCAGATTTATCTGATTCAGTTAGCAACAAACATAGCCCATGGCACTTGAGAAATAGCACTGCTGAGCTGTATGATTGTAACAGGATTCTGTCTACCAAACTTTAGTCACACTGTCTACGCTGACTGTTGTAGAAGGAAAAATGTTTTCAACATTTTGCAAAATTCAGGGGTTTTAGTAAGTTCCATTACACTTATGCTTGAATTCACTTGCTTTTGAATATTGTAAACCCTTAAAATCAAGGGACTTCAGCTGCAGAGGAAAACCTCAGAACCCTAGTCTAGGGCTTGACAATGCTGTAATAACAGCATCAAGAATCCCAAAGACTGTTCTGTTCATTAGAGAGCAACTGAGAGATGTTTATGGCTTAGATAAAACAAGATCGTATAATTAGTAGACTAATGAATCTAATGTAGATGTAACACCCGTATTATCAATGTCAAATACGTAGTCTTACAAATAACTAAGTCATTTTAGTAGTACACTTCACTGATGCGTGGTTAAAACATTTACAAGTTTATTCAAGTGACAGCCAAACAATAAAATGTTCTTTTAAATATTGGGTCCTCCCCATGTTTCAACCCTGTCATTCATGAAAATTGGAATGGAAACCTGCAGATTTCTTGGTATTTCAAAGTATGAGTACCAAAGAGAACATAACTTTCAAATGAGCTTTAGGAAAACTCATTTGTCAATAGCAACTCCTGAGACACTAGTTTAGTCTTCCTTATACCACTGTTTTACACAGCCAATATGACCTGACACATGTACATTAGCAGGCAAGAAAGAATAGAGATTAGTGATAGAGAACATAAATAATCTCCTCAAAATGAATTAATATATTGTTTTATTTTTAAGCTTCAAAAAGACAAGACACAATTTTTTAACATTGTTTGTTTGTGTTTTTTTTTTTCAAATGAAGTTTGATACTTCTCATAATAAGCCAAATTTTTAGAAAATCCTGATTTCTACTGAAAATCAGGTCCCTTTGTTTCACTGCACTTTTATTAAGTGCAGATTTAATGCGATGGACAGGTAGAAGAATTAACACAACTTTAACCCATCCCCTGCTCAGTCAGAGTGCACTGTGATTGGGGCACTTCTTTCACAAGTCATGAGTTCTTTTTCCTCTTCTTTTCTCTATTTGTGTTTGAGCTGCTTCTTCCACTACTGGGAATCAGCATCTATTGTCCTATTACCACTGGTATCTACTGTCTTACTTACTAAAAACTTATGTATTTTCTGCTACAGAACATTGTGACATTTCAGATTTTTTCTAAAATAAGAAACAAATAGTAGGTATCACCTTCCACTTTTTACATTATCAGCTAAATATAATGCGGAAAGGCTTCAAATTTAAATACCTGAAAAGTCTGATTTTAGGTCCTCATTTCTAAAAGTCTTTCAAGTGTTATCAATTAAAAAAAATATACACTTTATGACCATCAATACACAAATACTGAACAATTTTCTCAAGCAAAGATACAAAGAATGTTTTCACGTGAATATGTGAATCTTCAGGCTGCAATAAGGCTCGTCAGTTATAATAACACAATAAGGGAAGTACTTTTATTACTATTTTCACAGGGCAAGACAGAGTATCCTTGAAACACTATCCTTTCTTCCAGACATCTCTTCATGGGAAAACAGACTCAAAAGTGCAATATCCATGCTACCTGAACTTTGAGAAAAGTATTTAATGTATTTCTGGCAGTTCATAATAGCAATATCACTTTCTAGGAAGCCTGCTGGGCTGAGTTGCAGTGCTAAAAATGTGCTGTTTCTTTTCAGGTTCTAGTCACCACTATAGTCTTACATATGTAATCCCCCGATGATCTTTACTTCCAAAGATTTTTTCTGTAGTTAAACTCATGTCTGAAGTCCCAAGTATTCCCTGAACCTATTCTACCTTTCAATCAGTCAAGTTTCTTATTCACACCTATTTCAGACTTTGCATAACTGTCAAATGAGGACTAAAATATTTGATTACTTTTTAAAGGTAATTATTCTACAGGATTTTAAATAAATAGACTTCTTTATATTTTGGTGAGGAAGATGAAAGCAAATATAATACACAGTTTTATCTCAACCTTTTTTTTTAACTTAATGCAAAAAGAAAAAACATCAATGTTGAACTGAACTAGTTATATCAGGATTTTGATCCTACAGTATCAGCATCATGTTTTCTGACCTGATCTTACCACTGGTTCTGCAGGAGCTACTGCAGTTCATGTTAGGAAATGGTAACATAACTTCCTTAGCAGCTGTAATGCTTGGATCCTTATGTAATTTTCATTTATCTGAGAACAGTGCTGGGTAAACATGGGTAAAATGACTTCTGTGAAGTACTTTGCGTTAAAGAAGAAACAGAAAAATATCTAAGGACAGTGAAAAATGAAATCCATGAAGAATCATAGTATTCAGAAAAAACCTCCTAGTGTTACAGTAACTATTTCATTTATAGATTTAGGTATTATGACATATTTTTTACTTGTATCACTGTGAAGTACAACAGGTTAGGTTGACCTTTGAATAAGAAACAACCTTATAGTACGGAGCAAGTGGAGGTAATAGTTTACGTTGTTTTTACTGACTGGCCTGGAATGGGTGACTTTAACTATCTTATCACATATTGCTGAAAAAGCATGACGTTGATTTTGTGGCATCACTGTAGAGAACAGAAAAAAATATTATATGGATGAGTTAACAAATAAAGAGCACATGTAAAAATACTTTAATCAACCATCAGTACTTTAATAACATATTCTTCTGTGTGTTATATGGAAATGACAGAAGAAAAAAATCCCATGATTTAAACTGGCCACCAATTGGCAAAAGCATTTTCACTTTCTGATGGTGGTGGTTAATAAAAATTGCAAGAATAAATGAACATGCATAAGCATATGCTAAACAATTCTTTATGCATATGTCCTGTTTTCAGCTGGGATAGAGTTAATTTTCTTCCTAGGAGCTGGTACAGTGCTGTATTTTGCCTTCAGTATGAAAATAACATTGACAGCACATGGATGTTTTAGTTGTTGCTAAGTAGTGCTTACCCAGATCAAGGACTTTTCAGTCTCTCATGTTCTGCCAATGATAAGGGAGCACAGCCAGGACAGCTGACCCAAACTTGCCAAAGGGTTATTCCATGCCACAGTATGTCATGCCTGGAATATAAACTGGAGGAGTCAGCCAAAAGGGATTGATCACTGCTGGAGGATAGGCTGTGTCAGCGGGTGGCGAGCAGTTTTACTGTGCACCTTTTGAGTTGTACAACTCTGTCCCTTTTCCTATTATTAACTTTATTTCAATTATTAAACTGTACTAATCTCAACCCATGGGTTTTACCTTTTTCTAATTCTCCTCCTACGCCACTGTGGTGGGGGGTGTGAACAAGTGGCTCTGTGTTACTTCACTGCCACTGGGATTAAAGCATGACAGTATGATAAACAATGATTCTGTAATATGAAAAATGGTAATTCATTCTGACTTTCTAAGCACAAATCTCTGCAGTTTTAATGGAATTACAGAGCACTCCCAAAACTTGGTACCAGCTTTCATGGAAATAGTTTCAAATTGGTTGATTTTTATTCCTTTTTTCCTTAATTCAGTGCTTATACATACCATGAAATTATTTATTAAAGGGTTTCTTTAAATTCATGATTAATTGCTCTTTTCGCTCTTTAAAGAAACATTATCAGCATTATCAATGAATCCTGGAATAGTCCTGTAAGAACAAATTTCCTGACTCTACATGTTGAAGAATAATAATATAGTACAGGAAATGTCAGACTTCCTACAGACTTCCAACAAGTGAACAAAATCATGAAAATTACAACAGCTTCATATATAAGCAACAATTTCAGCAAACAGGATTAAAAAATAAAAGTCCAGCAGATTCCTAAAGACATTCCTACCACAACCCCACCTGAAAGATACTGCATTAAAATATACAACCAAAAATTAAATGAAGTAGGAAGATGATTTACTAAAATATGTGGTGGAAAGGTTTTTGCCACAGTTCCCATTCTTGGAACTATTAGGTTCTGAGGCCTATCATGGTTTATGCTTTGGTAGTTTGGTTTAAAAAGAAAACAAACAGAAAACAAATTTTGTCCTTACTCAAAGTTGATTGGTAGAAAACACTGACACTATCCTCATCGAAACAATCTTTCAGTAACATAGACATAATTGCTCAATTAAATGAGCTATATTTTGAGAGAGCAAGATTTTGTTAAAAAATCTAATACTATGAAGATAGAGAAGAAGGTTAAAATCAAAATTTTGTAAATTACAAAGAGTCTGTTAAGAAGTAAAGGCTTCTTTCTCTGCCGAGAAAAATGTGCAGTAATCTGTGCTTCAGCTTTCACAAGTCGAATGATGGACCTTTCATCCCCATAAGAAAAGTTTTACAGTTCAAACTCTGACCTAAATTTTGAGGGAACTGTACTGAACTCCAGCATGAAATAATTGTATATTTCTAACTGTTTTGGAGAATACATTGTCACTGTGTACAATACACAAATAGACTCCCATCTCAGAAAATATGGATTTGTAATCTGAGCCTGTTGAAAAATGAGTCATACTCCTAAAAAAAAAAAAAAAAAAAAAATCAAGCCTGCAGCTTCCCTTTAATTTGAATATTGTTAGGACAAAACCATAAACACTTTGTAAAAAACTCCAAAAAATCATTTTCACAGTTTATAAAATTTCTTTAAAATTCAAACTGTCACTCAGTTACCTTAATATAGCAATCAGCAATGTCAGTATCTATAGGGAAGTGTTAACTAAAAAACAACCAAATGGTCCACTATAATAGGGCTAGTTTTACTCCTACATTCTGACAAAATGTGGTCCTTATGATAACCAGTCATCTATATTATATCTAGTATGAAAAGTGATGAAGACTGACATCTTGCTGGGAATATTACAGGAACTCTTCATTTTAACAAATGGAATAAGCAGAGGATATGTACCTGAGAATGTTTAGCCACATTTAAACTTGAATTTGGTTTATCTATATTAGTTTTCTTACTGGACGTGTTTTCTGTGAGTACATAGGTATTCAAGATTTACTGGATATAATGTTCTTGGCAAAGGTTGTATGTGAAAGGAACATGACAATAAAGTCACCAGTTACACAAGACAGAAATCGGCAAGGATTTAGATCTTCCCCTTGTAGGGCTATGTTGTGGTTTAAACCCAGTCAATAACTCAGAACCACACAGTCTACTCCCCGCCACCTTTCTTCCCCCTGCTCCCGGAGGGATGGGAAGGAGAACCGAAAGAATGTAACTCCCATGGGTTCAGATAAGAACAGCTTAGTAACTAAGTTATAACAGAAATCACTACTGCTACTGCCAATAAGAATAATGATAAAGGAAATAACAAGAGAATACAATACCACCTGCTGACCGATACTGATACCTAACCCGACCTTAGCAGAGAACTAACTCTTCTGGGTAACTCTCAGTTACATCCTGGGCATGACATGCTGTGGTATGGAATACCTCTTTGGCTAATTTGGACCAGGTGTCCTGTCTCTGCTTCCTCCCGGCTTCCCCTCCTCCCTGGCAGAGCACGAGACTCAGAAAGTCCTTGGTCAGACTAAACAATTGAGCAGTAACTAAAAACATTGGTGTTATCAGTGCTGTTCCCAGGCCAATAATAAAAAACACAGTGCCACACCAGCTACTAAGAAGGAGAAAAAAATGACTGCTACTGCTGAACCCAGGACAGGCTACAAGATTAGAAAATCTCATACTTGCTCAGCAGATAGGAAAAAGTGTTTTACTACTGAGTATCATGCATTATACAATTAAAAAGTATAACCCAAAACAGTGCAGAACTAAAATTTTTAGAATTAGAAAATTTGAACAAGAAATTTGAAACTTTTTTGAGATTAATAATCATGCATTTCTCAGAATCATAAAATAATCCAGGTTGATAAGGATCTCTGGAGGTCATCTATTCCAATCCTTTGCTCAAAGAAGGGTCAATTTTGAAGGCAGATCCAGATTCTAAGTCACATACCCAACTGAATTTTTTAACGTATGCAAGCATGGACATTCCAAAACTTCTCTGGCAACACTTCATTCATATTCCCATAATTCTGACATGGCAGTTAGCAGCTACTTGCATGAAAAAGTAGTATTTAGTGATCTTAAGTATGTTCACCTTCTCAGCTCAGTGAGCAGAAAGTAGAAAAAGAAAGACTGCTCTGATGGTCACCTCCTGGTAGACTTAGAACTATTTCTCTTACAAGTTACTATTTTATAAATCTACCAAGATACATAAAATATATTCATAAAATGATTTCTGAAAAACCAAAATAAAATAATAATTAAAAATGAGCTGCTCAGCTTTTAAGCTACATGATGACAAGAATATCTGTCCTTTGGTTAAATATCTACGTTGGAGGTAAAGCTAGAGACTTTGAAATGTACAGAATTTATGGTTAAATATCTACATTGGAGGTAAAGCTAGAGACTTTGAAATGTACAGAATTTATAGTTAATTCTTTTAAATTCTATATTCTCTGTTATAAAGAAGACTTCTGAAAATCAACATCATATCAGCATCAAATAGGCTGTTTGTCCCTTCATTGTCCCTTTTGCAAAATGAACTATATCCCCCTGGATAAAACTCATCTAAAGTATGTGCTACCACACATATATTTAATATATTCATCAATGATTTAGATGAGGGAATTGAATGTACTATCAGCAAGTTTGCTGATGACACTAAGCTGGGAGGAGTGGCCAACATGCCAGAAGGCTGTGCTGCCATCCAGCGAGACCTGGACAGGCTGCGAGTTGGGCAGGGAATAACTTGATGAAATATAACAAGGGAAAGTGTAGAGTCCTGCATCTGGGCAGGAACAACCCCAGGTTCCAGTATAGGTTGGGGAATGAACTGTTAGAGAGCACTGTAGGGGAGAGGGACCTGGGGGTCCTAGTGAACGACAGGATGGACATGAGCCAACACTGTGCCCTTGTGGCCAAGAAGGCCAATGGCACCCTGGGGTGTATTAGAAGGGGGTTGGTTAGTAGGTCGAGAGAGGTCCTCCTTTCCTTCTACTCTGCCCTGGATAGACCTCATCTGGAATAATGTGTCCAGTTCTGAGCCCCTTAGTTCAAGAAGGACAGGGACCTGCTGGAGAGAGTCCAGCGCAGGGCAACTAAGATGATTAAGGGAGTGGAGCATCTCCCTTATGAGGAAAGACTGAGGAGCTGGGTCTCTATAGTTTGGAGAAGAGGAGATTGAGGGGTGACCTTATTAGTGTATATAAATATATAAAGGGGGAGTGTCACGAGGCTCTTCTCAGTGGCAAACAATGATAGGACAAGGGGCAGTGGGTACAAAGTGGAACACAAGAGGTTCCACTTAAACTTGAGAAGAAACTTCTTCTCAGTGAGGGTGACAGAACACTGGAACAGGCTGCCCAGGGAGGTTGTGGAGTCTCCTTCTCTGGAGACATTCAAAACCCGCCTGGACGCATTCTTGTGTAAACTTATCTAGGTGTTCCTGCTCTGGCAGGGGGATTGGACTAGATGATCTTATGAGGTCCCTTCCAGTCTCTAGTGTACTGTGGTACCAAAGTGAACATATTTTCTCATGACCTCTCAAAAACCTGAAAATTGTTCCATACAAACACTTTGAAAAAGGTTACAGAAATGAAAGTCAGTACTTCTTGTTTTCTTCACATATGCTGCAAATGTCCCTGTAGAAGGCCTCCTTCCTGAAAATTACAATTGCAAATTCAACCATGTACTAAATAGATGCAGCGATTTTCCTCTTCAGCCCCAAAACTATGCATCTACATTTTCCTGTACTGCAGGAGAAATACCAAACTAGCCTTTCAGATCACAACTATTTTCCAATAATACTATATATTTTATATGTCATTTAAATTGGAAACTGTAATAAAATACATGTAAAATGTCTGCCTTAAGCCTTGATATTCTACAGCACCTCTTCACAAGTACTGTATAGAAAATATAGAATAATTTAAAATCAAATTCTGGTAGTATTGTCAATGATGTAAATTATTTTTGGCTTTCAGTTTAAAAGATGTTGGTGACAGACTTTGAGTCATTTCTGTATCATCAGTAGAAGTAAAATTGAGGGGAATGAAGCAGAGTCATGAACATAAAAGTTAGCAAGAGCTATAAAGAAATAGGAGCTACTCTTAGATATATTGCAGTGTTAGAAGGCAAAATATCCTATTATAGCACAAGCAATTGAGCCAGATGAAACTGCAAGTTTATAAATGCAGGCAAAACTTAGAATCAGATGGAAATAATCCAAAAACTGAATATGTGGTTACCAGTAGAATCCAAAGGAGTAACGTAGTCCAATATATTTCAGATTCTAATTTTTAAAATAATAAAATTATAAAAAAGCAATTTGAAATTAATGTGCTAGAGGAAAAGGAGGGAAGCTTCTTACTAAAAACCACTTCCAATAGAAATCTATGAACAAAATTTTCCTCTAAACATAGTTTTTGGAAATAAGCAAACAAGATTAATTGAAAATGGGCCTGACGCAAGAAGAAAACTATAAATGCATCTCTGTAAACTTGCTCTAGATTGGTCACAATTATTAAAGATGAAATAAAATTAGGATGATCCTCAAACAGCAGCTGGAAACCCAACAGTTCTGAATTTTATTTTCAATATGTGCTTGTAAAGCATCAGTAAGTTTTAGAGAAAAAGACAAAATGTGAGTCTTAGTTCTTTATACTGTATAAAAGCTAAACTAATTAATTTATTAAATATCATAGAATTATAGAATAGTTAGGGTTGGAAAGGACCTTAAGATCATCTAGTTCCAACGCCCCTGCCATTGTCAGGGACACCTCACACTAAATCATCTCACTCAAGGCTTCGTCTAACCTGGTCTTGTATTAATAATATTAGGATATATTCTATGATATATATAGGATATATATAGGATATTAATTAATATCCTATTCACATCAGCATGATCACATTCATTGCTTCAAGGACAGGATTTAAAAATTTCAAAGACATTTTCTCAACATTTCACAAGAATAAAGGTGAAAAATGCTATCCTAGATTTTTGTGGTAATGTCAGCAATCCCATCCTTATTTTTCACTGCATATGAAGGCTACAAACCCAAGCATTTTGCATTCACTTAAAGGTTCCGTAGAACTTGAAAATTAGCAGACTACAACTCATCCTCAATGCAGTGATTCAGAATCAAGGCAATATACTGTTGCATTGGTTAATATGAATACATGAAGAGACAGAATTACAGAAATTTAGCTTCTTTAGATTCTATTAACCATTGCTAGACAGTAGCTGAGTGCAGTGCCTGTATGGCACTATAATAAAGACTAAGACTGACTATATCTTACATAAGCCAAGAAAGTATTAAAGGGAATCTTGATACCAAAATGATTCCATCTAGTATCTATGAGGAAGGCATGACTCAGAAAAGGGTGTGCTATGAGAGAAATGATCTGGGGGAAAAGACTAAGGAAGGTTAAAAATACAAATAGTGGAGAAACTGAAACCAAAATCTAATTCATGAACAGAAGAGTCTCAGTGCTCATGTTTGTCATGATTGGCAGAAGGACGTTACTACATTAAAAGAAGTAGTATGTTAAATGAGTTGGACTGAGAAGCCAAGTTCCAAATGCCTGGCTTTCTGAAGCAATGCTAAAAAAATGCATTTTCTGGAACAATTACCAGGCTTGTCCTACAACAGTGAGTTTATTACAGGGTCACACCTGAGTGTGTGATCATAACTGAGATTTTGCAAGGATGCATGGGAAGTAATTAAAAAATGAGCAATATTACTGAAGAAACAATAGTACCCATTCTTTCTTCTGAAAAGTATCAGGATTAAGGAATGCAATTGGGCTTCAGTAATGATGCCAGTTCACTAATGAATCCACTCCATTGGAACAAGGAACGCAACTGGGCTTCAAGTCATATCCTTGCTTCTAATTTCAGACCATAGGATTTCTACTAAGATATTTTCAATTTCTCTCATCTGCATCACTACTAAAACATTTCTGGCAAAGTCAAGAATTTAATTTAGCTTTCATGACTCTGAGATTAACATGCTTATAATGATCTTATTCTTGTACTAACAAAAATAGAGTGGCACATGACACTTGGAGTAGTGAAGGTTATGGTAGAAGACCCTGACATTATTTCACAAAAGGGAAACAAGAGACAATGATGTAAGTACCAGCTTTTCACATTTGAAACTGGTTTCAAACTCTTTCTAAGGTGAAAATTATCTCATACTAATTTCCAACTGTTCTTATCACAAAAACACTACTCAGCTGGCATGAATTCTTGTTGACAAACCCAGGGCTGACTAAAAGGGATAGCACAACTAGGATTGAGAAGTATTGGCAGTATTGAGGGAGCCTGCTTGCAACTGGCTTGAGACAGTGCTTTTCTTCATTTTAATGTCATAAAATCTAGTGTGATTATCTAACCTAAAGGAAATCCCATGTAACTTTATATTAGCACAACCCAAATGAATAAAACCAAAAATATGCAAATCTACTATTAATAATTGCCAGACTTAGATAATAACCATTGTTAATAGTTTCTCAGATTGTTTTAGGAAGGAAACAGCATGTCACCAAACTTCTAGGTACGGCTAGTTTACAAGCTAAGCTAAATGGGAGACTTGTTCTGTGGAAGCAATACACAATACTGTCATTACAAAAGCTTCATGTTTGGCAGAACAATCATTTTCCCCCTTGATCCTTCATTCCGGGATCTATAAGACCCTGCAATTTTCAGATAGCAATGGCACAAGATCAAGGTTATTACTATTTTTTTAAGACAGCACTTTTTAACAAAAGGAGAGAAGCACAGAAACAGCCAGGCAGCAGTTGCACATGTGGCATTCATGTTTTGTAATAATTTCAGTCTGAATCCTGCCAATATCACTTCATCTCAAGCCACTTGCTGGGACGCTGAGCACATCCATCCTCTCCTGTAGGCTTTATTTCTACCCAACAAAGAGACTATGCTTGGCTCCAGAGACTGTTAGACTTCAGTTTCATGGGCACAAAAACAACTCAAAATCTACTATGAATAGTGAATAGGAAAAAAAAACCCTTAGCAGTCAGTAGCAGGCACAGCATCATGGAGGGCTTCTCCATTAGTAGAGAGCTGCCTTGTAAAAATAATCATTTGCAGAAACGGGACTTGCAGCACATTTGTGAAAGGCAACTTTCTGAAAAGAATTAATTATTTCCCATAGTTTAACCCAAGATTTTTTTTACCAATCTACAATCTTTTTAAGCACTGACCATACTTTCAGGTATCACTTACATCTTACAAAATTCCATAGGCTCTCTACCTACAGCTTTGTTAATACAGTAGTTATTGTCATGAAACATTTATAAAAAGCTGAATAGGAAAGGACAGTGCTTCAGATAAAAAAGCTACAGTTGTTCTTAGAAAAAGCCAGCATATATAAAGAAATACAGACTTGTAAAAATTATTTTACAACCAAAATTCAATTACTGTGAATAAAAGTATGAAAATAAAATATTCAGGCAGATATCTTAAATAAACTTTTTCCTTTACATTTTATACAGCACAGAGTTCAGAATACTGCTGTGACTGGTATTGCTGTAATGTAGTTGCTGGGGTTGCAAGACATTTTGTGACAGGGAAGATGCAGGCTTTCATGTACATAATACCATTCAATGTTCAGATATGTTCAAAGGCACAGATAAGGAGAAGCCTCTGTCAAGGACCTGAGCGCACTAAAACAGGCTTTAACAGCCCTGAGCAGACTCACTTGGCACCTCCTCCTGCACTCTTTGCCCGTGGGCCCAGGGGCTCCATTTAAATTCGGGCCTGTGCCTTTGTTCCTTGCTTGAGCTACCTCATAGGACTGCTGAAGGAAGGTCTGGGCCTACTCAAGCAACACTGGGCTGCATCTCACCAAAGTTACCCTCACCAGCCCTGATCCTGACCTGCATGTTGACTTCTTGGCTTACCTTAGGCCTGCCTTGTCAGCACACGTGCACCTGATGAGCCTGCTTTGGTTCTGCCCTGCTCTGGCATGGCGGAGCTGGGCTGTGGTTGGTGAGGCACCAGACCTGCCCACTCTGTGACTTAGCTTGGCTGCCTGCCCCACAGGGAGCAGCCGTTTCCCGATGGCCTCTGTTGCGGTGGTACCTTACATAAACATCTGAAGACTTAGAATATGGACAATAAAGAAAACCCCTCTTTTTTTGAATCATAGTGCTTAAAAGGGCAGCTTCAGCAGTTTGGGGAGTACTTTGATGTTTAGGAGCCACCACATAACCATCTGCTCCTCCAGTAAGTACAATGAGCTGCAGTAGGTGGCTAGTCTTCCCAGAGACAAATAATTTGTCTGATGTGAAGCTTTAATATAAATTCGCAAGCAAGATTTCTCTTTCTCAGAAAGGCAGTTTGGACAAGGAGGAGGCAATGTTCTTCAGTTCTAACAGGAACTTGTATTCAGTTTAGTTACACTTAAACTTCCACTGTATTCCCAGGAAGAACTGCTGGAATTAAAACAGTTGAAAGAGGGAGTCATATTGTGGCATGTGGTAGGCTATATCTATAGAACGTATGATATGCATCAGCTTAGGGTCAGGTTGTGCTTTGAAACATTAAAGAAAAAAAGTTCCTTCAAGATTTAACATTGCATGTTTGCCTGGACTCAATATTTTCTAAGTTGAGAGTGTCAACCTGGATATCCTATGAACTAGTGCAACAACACATATCCTAAGTATGGCCCTTTCAGTACAGTCTGGACGCAAAGGAGTAAAATAACTTCAAGCACTGTAGAAAATAGATTACATGCTTTTGAAATTTATTCTCAGGTTCACATATTGTCAGCATACACCTTGTCAGTATGCATATCCATCTACAGAGGAAATCATTGCAGGGACATTTTTACAACATACCTCTTTGGGAAGGGTTGCTCAGCCAAAACCTTCATATTACTTTTGTGCTCAGTGATACAATGGAGTATGCTCAAAAGAATAATAGTCCATTCTCTTTTGTTTTTTAAGATACTTAGAACTGTAGATAGAAAATAACATCTCAGCACTGCCCTTGTTATATTAATATAAGAGTGCTGCCCCTGCTGGAAGGTGGATTTTTTATTTCAGTTTTGTACGCTTAAAGCACTCTTAAAGGACAACCCTTTTTCTTTTAAAGTAATTTTAGTGACATGGTTGACAGATTGCAGTTAAGCTTCTAAGCTTCTACCAATGAAAGCGTGCGTATTTTACATGCAAGTAAAATGCACCTATATCCTGGTTACATTACATTTATTCCTAGATTTTTAGTTTCCTCCCTTGCCTTTCATTATTCAAGTTATTACGTAGTTAAAAGCGAATGTAACTATTTTAGAAATAATGAAGCATTATACTTCTAGTCCAAGATAAAACTTGTGAGGAGAGTTTATTATAAAAAAATAATTTCTTTGAATGAAGAGGTTAATGAGGAACATAGGTCACAGCCAGTAATCCTGTGAAGTACAATTTATTTTGGGTAGCCCTTCTATGGTTTTAGTCAGTTCCTTTGGTAGGCAAAACAGGAAATAAAAATTACATGCATACATACAGTATTAGTGTGTAAGATCTGGGTTTTTACAGCATGAAGAATGTGATCTTTCTTCTCTTGCAGGTATAGTCATTAAGGGGCATTCTGCCTCCATTTTCATAAGAAATTAGAAGATGTAGTTATCAGATTAGGATTACATAAAAGAACTGCAATACTGGCATAAACCACTGCTTTGGTTTAAGATGGCATACTGATGCATAAATTATAAGGAAGAAGACATATATAGTCAATCCTATCAGTAAATGCTGAATCTGATTCTTCTGTTTAGAATTTCTGAGTCACTCAAGTAGACATATTTGATAGGAATGTGACCTAATTGTTTTACTGCTAATCCTGAAACAGTTGCTATTAGGAACAAATTAGCAAGAGACCTTTGGATAATTCTACCACTCAAATCAAAGTCTCAGTCAATTAACCGTCTTAATAAATAACAGTTCCCTAAAAAGAGACAGGAAAAAGAGACTAAACAAGTATTCAAAAAAACCCCACAAGATGAAAATTTAACAATTTTCCAAAGGTCATCAGGAAGCCAGACTCTAAATGATGTTAAATGTCTTTATTCAGACATATTAAAACCAAAATGAAATAATGTTAACATAATGATTTTTTTCATTGTAGTCACAGACTATATTTGTGTAAAGAATTCAGTTCAGATGCATGCAATGAGGGTCTGGGAGGTAGCTCAGAGCAAACAGTTTGGTCAGAAGCACTTACAGAGTAACCAGAGGCTTTTGGCTTTTTGTGGCCCTTTAGCTGTCTTGACTATGTCATGGGAGTTAGAATGAATGCCCAATACAGGGATGGTTGACTTCTTCATGGAATTAGCGCTTCCCTACACAGAGAATGCACATTACTCTATCACCTACATGCATATATAGTGGATCTGACTGTCCCCTGCTTTTATTTTGCCTGTTTCAGCTATTTGCTTCATGTATTTTGCTGTAGGTCTTGAATTCAGGCCAACTGACAGTTTGGTAACAGAGGAAACTGACTATACATTTCATTGCTCTAGAGCGCGTCTGTATTCTAAGCACGTCTTTTGGGAGATATGGTGCTGTATGTACATGTACTATTTTGTAGGGAAAGATGTGTAGAATGAAATAATACACCAACCTGTAAAAAAATTAAAAATAATAAATTAGAGGTAAGGAAAAATGTGCTTTGTAATCATGCAACAGAGATAGTGTTGATGGTACAGTGTGGTACAGGTTCTTATGATTTGGAATTGAATCCATAAGAAGTCCCCTTATATGTAGAGGAGAAACTGCCCTTAGCCCAGTGCTCTTTTCCTGTGTTGCTGCTGAATAATGCATTTTACACTCACATTTTAAAAATCTACGTTTAAAATTCTGACTTGGTTAACAAAAACTGCCCAGCATAGAGTGTCTACCTTTCAGCAAGAGGGCTTTGTAAGGACAGACTGAAGGGGGAAATCATGTCATAAATCACTGCACATATGGTTGCTGACAGTGGCAGTATATAGGGTATTAACTCACATGATAACCTAATTCTGTTTCTGTTAAAGACAACAGCAAACTCCTGCTGCCTAACATAAAAACAGAACCAAACTCTTAACATCTCGAGGAATCGGTAGCACTATACTCTACGAATTATAATGCTACGCCCATTTCTTAGCTGATCATAATTCACACTTTAACACTGTGATTAAATGAATTCAAATAAATCAAAATATTTTTAACAAAATGGTCTTTGACTCAGAGTGGTCTTTGCATCTGAATGTATAATTGTTTACTCTCATTTATCACACATAAGTGCCCAGTCTTGGTCATAACAGTTTTTCTGCACATGTAGGATATTATTCATAATGTATGTTTCATTCACAATCAATTATAAACAAGATATATGAAAATATTTTAAGTTCATTTAAAGTTTCAGGTTTATATACCTTTATTAAAGATTGTTTAAATCAATAAAGAACTACTTATTAAGAAGTCTTGAATAGATTCTATGAAAAGAAGTGAAATTTATGATGTTTAGTATTGCACATTATACAGTTTCTTTATTTTTTGCTCACTTGCTCATGCTGTGAAAAAATCATGAATATTTAGCTATTAAATGAAATGCAAAATTTTCATTACCATTTTATTGAAAACTTGACATCTTAAAACACCATACATACCATTAGTATTCTACTGCATTGTCACCTTATTGAAAAATGCTGCTAAAAAACAATACCACCATTCAGAGAAAAAAAAATTGTCCGCCCAAGGCTATTAACTATAGTTCTACACATACATTAGTGACAAATAAGTGAAGCAGCCAATGCTCACAAAAGATGTCACTAAAATGCTAGGAAACAACTGTAACCATAGAAACCATCTCACACTGCAATCTGAACATCTTTTGTCAGTGTTTGACTAGAAATGAGATGCTTAAAATCATTAGGCTATCAAAAAATCTGAAGTCTCTTCATTGAAATTTACATATTTAAATATTTTGAAACCTGCAAAAACTTCAACATGATACTTTTATAAAATATTGTTTCAGCTCCTAGCCCTCAACTATCACTTTAGATATAATAACAAGGATTATACAGATGATTACTCCCTCCCCCAAAGTCTCCCCCACCAGACCCTATCTTTGGTATACGTACACTAGAAGAACCGAGGCATTAAATAAAAAAATAATAAAAAAACACCACAAAAACCTGGGGTAAGAAGTGAGAAGAATTTACACAAAACATTCACGGACATGTCATTCTCTACCTCTACTTATTGCTTTGGGTTTTTTTAAAAATATCTTCATAAGCATCACTCACCCTACTGACAGGATGACTGATATTGTATAACCTTTGTGACATTAAGTACAAAATTGTCTACAGCCAACAAAATACCTGAACAAGAAATTTCCTCAATTGCCTTAAAGTTTGAGAACTTTGGAAGATTAAGTTAGGATAACAGCTTAGTATGAATAGTACCTAATAAAAAGGGCCTGTACAACTCCTGGCCTATAGAATAATAGTACATCCCAGCTTTCTGTACAGTGACTGATCCTGTGCTTTAGGGCTGGAGGAATATATAGGAAGGCAGCCTTAGTTATTTTTGTGGTGGGACTCACTATTACAGTATATCTGTGTTAGTCTGAAAATCTACTGTAGAAAGCAAACCAAGGGCATAAATGGTGATTAATCCTTTAATACAACAAATTTCAGTGGTACAAAGTACAGCTGATAACAGATGTGATGTTTTTTTGCAGGGAAGGCTTGCTGATATTTAATAGAAAAAACATTTCAAATTCTATATGTGCTCTAATTTACTAATAATGAACTATGAAATTTTGGAGATACATATCAAATACATTTTTAATAGAAAAGCCAAGGACTAAAATAATCTGTACACATTCCTTCTATTGTCTTTTCCACAGGTCCTGAGCCTTCGGTTGGATATGGGTATATTTAGTCTTAACTAAAGATATTAGTCTTAACTAAGACTGTTGTGCAATGTCTATTTGATTTTCCATGGCTTTAAGCAAAATTCAGTGGTCTTATAAACAACAGATTGACAAAAGTCAAAGACTCTGAGCTTGTCCTTTAAGGCATTGTTTGCCAACACATTATGATTTAACACTTCTAAGAAAATGCAGATAGTTCCAAATTCCCCCCTCTTCCTACCACCCATCCTTTAGTGGTGGAAAGGTCAGATTCTGAGGTCATCAGTCTGATACTTTCACAAATAGTATAACACACATTAGAACTGGTGTGAATGTCTTTCGTATGATTGACAAAAAAGCTAGTACAAGTTGAAATCTTGAAACGTTTTATTTGTCAACAAACTAAATGCAAATGAAAAGAAGCAAAAGAGGAAGAAATGAAGGAATATGTCGTACAATTCATTACAAAGTGGTTTTGTTATGTGTGTTTTACCAACGAGCTTCACAGAATTAAACAGAATGTATTTTTTAAATACAGAAATCTCATTCTGTAATTAGTAATTGACTGAGTTAATATAGACCTTGAGGAGGTTTTGTCTACATAGAGATTGTGATGAAAAAGTTAAAAGTAATTACAGAAACAGAAAATGCAAGACTGCAAGACTATAGTTTCTAGAAGGAGTATAATAATCATAAGTACAAAGGTTAAAAAAATGTTTTTTTCTTAATATGTTCTCTGAAAATGAATGGCTCACAATATTTTAAAGATGATGATGCAATCTTTTCCAAGTAGTGGGTTGAAGTATTCTATGCAAGTACCAGATTATTTTTGTCCAAAGTAATAATGAATTTTGATTTCTGAATCCAGCCTTGTCCTATATTATACCCTTAATGAATATTATACCCTTTAATGCATATTTAAACTGTTTGTACTACTTTGTTGCCTGCAGTTCGTTCTCTTCCTACTGCACAAAGCTGTCATAAGTTTAATGTTTTACAGAAGAGAAAGAAGTGGAAAAAATTTATGGACGATGATCACAACTTTTCTTATAATTCACTCTTCTAATAGCCTTTACTGTATTTGGTATCTGATGGTGAAATAGCAAATACCTTGGTTTCACCAAATCACTTACACAAAATTGCTCCTGTGGATGCCTGACTCATTCATTGAATATGTCTTTCATGTTTTATTGAAAGATTATGAAGTAAGAACTACTTTCCTTATCTTCTTTAGTCAGCCTTGTTTTAGTATTATCATTGTGAAAATATATAGTACATGCTGTAATAAAACTGCATATAGAATGATACAGATATATAGATAATATAAATTATTATCAAAGACATACATTTACCCAATGGTGACAAAAACATGACAACTCTCCACTTTCAAAACCCTTATCATTACAGGCATACCAGCATACCCCAAACTGGAAATTAACTAGTTCTATATGAACTGCTGATGGCAGAATCTAACAGGAGAATCTACTTTAATTCTTCTATTTTTGAGCTATTTTCCATTCCTGAAAACAGCTGACACAAAATTATGGAATAACAGGTCTGTTCCAACAGCAGAATGTCAATGCCACATATATCTCTTGCTTACAGTCATATCTGATAGGTACCCCAGGGTAAATAAAAATGTATTTAAGCAACTCCTACAGTCATCAGCACTTTCGTACATCTAACCGGAAGGTATTTATTATTATACCAGTTGGTATTACTAAGTAGCACAAAACTGAAACTGTGAGATATGAAATGTATTGAGATGTTTGCATTTTTAACCTACTTTGAATCATAATTTGTCTTCTATACTAATATTTTTCATCAAACAGAATTCTACATTCAGTAAATTCCCTCAAGAAAAATAGAATACCTTTGGGTTTTTTTTTTTGTTTGGTTGTTTGTTTTTTGTTTCTTTTTTTTTTTTTTTTTTTAATTTCTGTGTATCAACATTCAAGTATTTTTCCATGAGCATTTATTGTAAGGATGTGTATAATCCCTAGTGTCTGTATGCTCCTACAACTTCCTTTGTTGGCTGCGAAGTCTGAGAGTATAACATTCTCTCATTCTGGATCATTACATGTTTTTTGCCTAGAGATGTGAGAACATCCACCTTTGCTGAAGCTTTAAGTGCATTGTTTTTTTATTTGCTTTCAGGTACAATCTAATAATTCATTTTCTAAGTTACTCAATAACTGGTCTTGGCTATGTTAGGTGATTGCTTTTCTTCTCTTTACTGCAGAAATGATCAGCTGAGCAACTTAGTGTAAACATGAAGTGTCTCAATGAGAACAACTTGGATCTTTTCAAGGTACAAAAGTCTAATCCAAAAATAATGTATCAAATTCACACAGAAACATTCATAAACAATTACTAATGAAAACAGGCAGGCATGTACCCTTTAGCACACCCTGAAACAACTGTGGATGCTGAGGAGCAGGAAGAGGATGGACTGCAGGATGTGGCAAGGCTCACTTGCTTTCAGTAAGTATCTCCTGTTGCCATCATTTGAGACAGAATACTGCTCAGGATGGCCAAACTCATTACTCCCACCCCAGGAGGACGTGTCTTGTGTGTATCTCTCCTTGACTTCTAAGGCCTACTAGATTATGTATACATAGTAACATCACAGATCATTTGTGTGTGCTCATAACTGGTGGTTTGGACTTCAAACTTCATATACATTTGTATAATTAAATGACAACATTATTATGTATCTGACAACTGTTCTGACTTGAAACAATGTTTTGTAACCTTTGTGGTGGATATGTCGTCGCATTCACAATCATGAGCCACACTTTTAGGCAGTTGTTAGGAAACCGGAACACATACACCCTTCATTTTGTGTGATAGGAAACTTGTAGGAATGCTTTCTGATGTATGATAAGGTTGCTGCAATTTATCCGCATGTCAATCATTTTAATTGCTGTTACTGTTCCACTCTATTCTACCACAGTCACACTTCAAATTTTTTTTTTTGCTTGACTAGGACAGAATGTCATTATCCTGACACCAAACATTTCAGACATGTACTGTTATCTCCAAAGTAGGGAGAGAGGACTTCGGATAAAAACTCAATCCATTTGAGATCATTATAAAAATACTATATATGCCTTCATCTGACCTTAACAAACAGTGTGTTGCATCTATATTTCTTGTATTCTGTTAAGTAGAGTCCCAGTAGAAGTCATTAACTGTATTTCCCCCTTATGCTTTGCTTTGGTCTTCATAAATACTGAAACCAGAAAATAATAGTCACAGGATTTGACTAGCTGATGTAATGCCTTATCTATAATCAAATTCTAAAAGGATGTGTATGACTAGGATATGAAATAGCCATAAAATAATTTATTTACAACATACATTCATTTAGAATTTTATCATCAGCTTAATTTATTATGCAATGTTTTGTTGAGCAAGTTAAGACAAAAAACCCCACCCCAAACCAAAAAACCAAACCAACCAAACAAAAAACCCCTAACAACCTAAACTAACTAAATAAACATCCAAAATGAAAAGCCATGGAAAATAAATGATTTTGTTCCCACAATCAATGACTAAATGATGCTCTTTTTTATGTAGAACAACAACATTGTTTCTGCCAAGTCAGTCCTGAAGATGTGTAGGGCTCTGATTTTTCATCCGTAAATGTGAAGTTCTACACCTAAATGAAGTATCATTAGACACAGCTCAGCATAATGCCTCTGCCAAGACAACACTGATCTTTAGAAAATGAAAACCATCCAAAGCGAAAACACATTTTCTCCTTCTGAACTTTAATAACACATGATGAACTAACGCATTTAAAGACGCATATCATATAATTCACATAGCTAGGCATTATTCTGTGTAGAAATAACATATACTGCAAGTAAACAAACTCCACACAGTGCATGGAATAAGCAAATTACCATTTTTACCAAGCAGTTCTTGATACATACACATCAGCCACAAACTGCAGAAAGGGAATTGATTGTACACAACAGCTAGGGAGGTTGGCTACACTGAATATCCAGCTTTCATGCCTTCTCATACTTAATATATTTTTTTGTTGACACCCAACTTCCCACTGCTGAGTTATGCAAACACCAAAATCATACTCTTACCTTTCATTTACAAAATTGATCTAGTAATTATGGTGATGGTAAAGATAAGATTTAAAACTTTTTCGTGCTTTCATATGCTTAATGATTTCATGTAACCACAGATACATCATGATTTCTTAACAGCAGCAGCTTCTGATTTGAAACTCAAAGTGTTTTAAATATCTATTATTTATGCCTTCACAGTCTATCAAATAACTTTACACCCAGCATTTGTACTCCTTGAGTACAAGCACTGGTGTTAATACTAAATAGGTTAAAATATTCATTATTAAAAATCCTTTGTCAAACCAATTGTATCAGCAGAATTCTGATACTCATAAAGAGACTGAACTTTCACAGTGCATCATCAGACTGCCTGCAGGTCATCTGAGTTGTTAGCATCAGTAGAATCAAACAGTAGCACATGAAGATGGCATTCCATCTGATATCTGCCTTCTGATATTGAAATTACATTCAGTATACCACTGGGTAGACAAAGATATTTTACAGCATTTATAAATATTAATCTTGTTTTTCAGTCTCAGCTGTTGTTTATTGTCAAGCTCACAATAATAGATTCAAAGCTTGACTACAAATACACACAAAATACTGAAAAACAGGAGTATTATCTCAATTTTTCACTGAAAATTATTTTTGCTGATTTTTTTTCTTTAATCACATACAATGAGATCAAAAGATTCAATCTGGAATGAGTCTGATTTTGCAGCAGCAAATTGCAATTCTTCCAAACATTGTCAGGAGCAACCTGTTCCACATTAGGTACCAATATACCTTTGCTTCTATAGTAAATCAGGACAACCCTATCTATAATCTCTTACGTAAGCAATGACTAAATCTATACTGATTAACTCAACCATCCGGGGCTTGAGTTCATGTGATCATCCATACTGTTTAACAGTTTGGCATATTTTTGGCCTGGATCAGCTGGCATTCTACTGCACACAGGATGGGCTGGGCTCGGAACTGTTCTGAGGAGGCTTCTATAGGGGCAGCTGAAGGGATCAGCCCTTGTTGTGCAGTGGAAGAATGAGGGTTTCACTAGCTCTGGGCATTAGCCACACTTGCATCTTGCCGCTAAACATGATGGAGAATCATAACGAGCAGATATGGCCAAACTGAACCATACCTTCCAGAAGAGAGATGTTTTTCTAACTGAACCTTTTTAATGCATCATATAATTACCTTGTCTAGAATACACAAAATAAAGTGCTGCTAGGTTTTTTCCCTTAAACTTGATCTGTGATTTTCCAGTACTGAATGCTACGCATCTACAGATAAAGTGGTACAAGGTAGCAATTTTCTCTGCCATTATTTAATGTGTAAATGGATTGACCAGCTCAGAATCCCTTCCCTATCATTTATAATACCTTCCAGGGGCCTGAGAATAGTTTTTCTATTGGGGTATGCCAACCTTTGAGACTGACATCACTCTTAAGAAAGTGGCATGTCCTTTCTCCCATGTCACAGGTCTAATGCAGTCCCAAAACATTGGAGTTAATAGCATTGTGAAAGTTCCGGAAAAGGGAGGGAAGAGCAGAGGTCAGAAAGAAAATAGTATTGTTCTCTGGGGCTGTAATACCTTTTAGATCTACCATTTCTGTGTTTCCATTTCCCAAGAATTCTTAGGGTACATTAATACTTAAATGACCCTTTTCACTTGCAAAGGTACAGTCCTTTATTTTTTCTTCAGCCTTATGTTCTTATAAATACATAAGCCAGAGGGGTTTATGAAATAAAGATCAGAATCTTTTAAACTTGAGTTTTCACTGACTTTAGTGGTTTATGAACTACTGCTTACACCACTTCATGCACTGATCTATTTCAAAGCTTCTCATTTAGTGCTATGAACAGCTCCCTTGATTTATTATATTGAGTGGTACTGCAGAAGGTAGATCTGTATTGAAATTGTCTCATAAACAGAGCTGAAATTACATCCTCAGTTTCTCATACATCTGGTGAAGGCTGTAGCCAGTAGTCTGCCAGAAAATAAATAGTCCTTTTTTCTTCTGTCTTTGGTGTAGTGTGCTCTGAGTAGCTAAACAAACCCAAATAAATGACAAAATATCTCCCAAAGCAAAACAAAAATACCTGGACAATCAATGTATTTGTAACACTTATTGAAGACCTCAAGATTTAAGTGACCTTGTGTATGTTCAGCAAAGTTTACAGAGATTTAGATTATTCAAGGATGATGAAGCAGTAAGTGAAGTTTCTGAAGCTTTCAGTGATACTTAAATATTGGACCTGCTGTTTAAGTATATTCAAGGAATCTCATCTTAAACATTTTTACTATAAGCATAATTTAAAGGACCTCATAGCTAGATGCTGGTTAGTTCTCAGAATGTTATTTTCAAAATCAGTAAGGCATAATGATGAACAAAGCACTGCAAATGTAGTTTCAGAGCCTGAAAGACCTTCAAATTGCACCACAAAGTGTTTTTAGAATATGCTTAAATTCCTTATTTTGTTATTAGTGCTCTGAATCTGACCCTCCTGCCACTGTTTAAAAAGCAGTTTCTCGAAGTGAAATCTAATTCCATCATTAGGGAACAGATTGTTCTAAGAAGCTGGATTAGAGCAGCATCAGCATGAATTTCAAAAACTTGCATGGAGCTATAAATATAATGTGCAATATTTTGCAATATCTAATGTGTTTTGGTCTAGTGTTGAGCATGCCCCATTGTTAAAACCAGCTGTGTTCTTTCACTTTTCATTTCTATAAAGCTATGATAAAGGCTGTCAAAGCAAACCCTGCAGCACCAGCCTTTCTTGATAAAAGTTCTGTGTACACAGTACATAGTAATCTCAAGATGGAACTTTGTTTCAAACCAGAACAAAATCTTCAGCTAATTATAAGTGAACTATATTAAGCACAAAAGGCAATTTCAATTTATACTGAACAAAGTTGCATTTTACTCTTTCCTTTCAAAATGCATTTGTCTTGGTTTCTGAAACTAATTGAAAATTCATTTTGCTTAATTTTATAAGGTTATTTCTTTTATTGCTTTTAAGTAGTCTGTTTAATACTGTAACATCTAACACCCCCCCCCCCCCCGAAGATTAGTGGGGCTTTTTTTGTGTGTTAATTTGTATTTAAAGCTTTAGAATAAGAAATGAATCATTCTTTTCATTCCTTACATCACATTAGTGCAGCAATCACTAAACTAAGGCTCTTATTATGAACACATTCAAAGCACTTGGAGGAAAATTGCCAACAGAAGTACTTCGTAAAAATAGGTCTGCTGTTTAAACAGAAGAGGATTAAAAATAAAACTGCAGTTTATAGGTGACCAGTTAAAGGAAAAAAGAAATTTCACACTTTTATTTGTTTTGACTTTTCTGTATATGATATAAAGGAAACCTTAGGAACATATTTTTTAAAACTTTTTCATTCTCCAGCTTTTTTTTTTTTCAGTTACATTTAATGGAAAAACTATGGAATTGTTTCCTTTTCCTTAAATCTTTCTGACCAGTGGAGAATTCTCACCTGCCTTTGTAGTTATTCACAGGATTTGGTTGGACCCAGGCAAAGACATAAAGGTTAAAACTTCCTAGATTTACTATCTCAGCTCTACCTGTTGAGAACCTTTGAGTGGCTTTTTTTTTTTTTTTTGTCTCAAAAAAGTCAGTAGCAAAGTTTATGAGCCAGAATTCAACCAGATTTAGAACTAGTAGGAATGATCATGTCAACAAGAAGGCAAGTATTAAGGTATGTAACTAAATGGCAGGTCTCCACATAGGAAGGGTACTGAGAAGACTCAACACAGCAGCTGGGGTAGGATCAGGACCCCATTAGGGAGACTGGGAATGGACCAGATGACATGCTGAAAGAGGTAGGTAACTCATAGAAACTGTGGCTTTCTCTTGGGATGCAGGAACACAGTCACCAGCCACCCAGCACTGCACAATATGGCATCAACCCAAGATGTAAGTAAAGTTTTCTACTAGTCCTTTGAGACTAGAACTGAATTCCTGATAGTCCCTGGCTTGTTTACTGTGTGTAGGAGCAGCAGGAATCCAACAGCAACCTTTTTGCAGCCCAGGTACTGGCAGCAGTGCTGATGAGCAATTCAAAGTTCCAGGCATTTCCTCTTGCCTCTTGGATCAATCAAAAATTTGGGAAGAAACATTCTGAAACCAAGTTAGGAAAGAAGCAAAAAGACTGGAGGAGAGAAGTAAGTTTATTTTAAATACATCACATCATCATTGCAGTTTCATCTTCCTACTCTGGGGTCTGTAATGCTTCTAAAAAATAGGCTTACTGTCAGTGGGGACTTGCTGAACAGAATTCAGAGAGGTTGGTAGGAGTGACTCACAGCCAGCTCAAGACTTCTCAGCAGTGCTAACTGATTTTAGTTCCCTAATGCTAAAGATAAAACTAAACATCTGAGGCTATGAGCTAGGATGAGAGACACAGACATCAGCGATTTCTCTTTCTACTATTAAAGGACTGGAAGAGAAGTTTGGTTTTAATAATTACTCCAGCTTCAGTGGCTGAGGATCAGCCATATTGATATTATCTGATTGTGCAGGTAAGAGACAGAGATTAATGGTCTGTTTTGCTACTTTTGCCAAAGCAGCAGAGTCTGAAACCTGTTATTGGAGCCAGCCTGGTATTCTAGGCAAATCTTAAATATCTAAACCTAGCTCTGGTTTGGCATGTCCGCTATAATGTTAAAACGAAAGTTATATATTATATAAGAGAAGAAACAAAAGGAATAAGAATCAGGCAGAACCTAGGGCAGCTGCCCCCCCCCCCCCCCTTCCAAAATGGTTATCAGTCTTCTTTTGTGTCCAGCTCTGGGGTGCCCAACATAAGAAGGACATGGACCTCCTGGAGTAAGTCCAGAGGAGGACCACAAAGATAGAGGGCTGGAGCACCTCTGCTGTGAAGACAAGCTGAGGGAGTTGGGCTTGTTCAGCCTGGAGAAGAGAAGGCTTCAGGGACGTATGCTAGTAGTCTTCCAGTACCTACAGACAGCCCACAAGAAAGCTGTAGAGGGATTTTCTACATGGGCAAGTAGTGATAGGACTAGAGGGAATGGCTTTAAGCTGAAAGAGGGTACATTTAGGTTAGATATTAGGAAGAAATTCTTTACTATGAGGGTGGTGATCCACTGGCATAGGTTGCCCAGAGAAGTTGTGGCTGCCTCATCCCTGGCAATGTTCAAGGCCAGGCTGGAAGGGGCTTTTAGCACCCTGGTCTAGTGGAAGGCTTCTCTTCCCTTGGCAGAGGGGTTGGAACTTGATGATCTGTAAGGTCACTTCCAATCCAAATAATTCTATGATTCTATGATATGATTAGATTATTCTTTATCATGTGTTTAATGGTTATTGGTCTTTTTTAATTCCTATGATATGTTTACTTAGAAAACAGACAAAATATTGTAATCTTTATGAAAGTATATTGAGAGAAAACTGTAGGTCTGAGATGCATGGAGTTTGGACCCTGAATGCAAACTAGACACATGAAGCTGTGGTTAACATTCTTATAGTCTACTGAGCACTTGCTAATAGGTGGCTGTTTGTGTGCCCAGCAGGTTGTGGAAGAAACTTTGTCCTTCCAGACTGGATTTTCAGTCCATACTGCAAAGACACAAGGTGTTTGCAATGATACCTAACACACTCCCTACTCCGTCTAGATGATTAGGACCACAGAAACATCCTTGGTGTGTTCAGAAGTTATCACCCCAGAACGTATGAGTCTTCTCTATTGGTTTGATGGTTAACCAGATGAATGTAAGCTTCTTTGCCATTTTTGTTCCCCTGGTAATTTACTATTTGGTAGATAGCAAAAATTGCTCACAGCTCTGGTACATTACTCATTTGATTCGGTCATGACCAATATCTGGGATATGTCTTACAAAGTGTCATATTTAGTCCTGTTCCTGCCAGCTCAGTTCTTCAATTTCAATATTATGTGAAGTTATAGGTTTATGGGTCAAAGTTTTTCTGATCAAGTTACCCTGATCAGGTTCATTTCAGTGTTTCAGTGGCATAACACATTGCTGAAAGAGGTTGAGTCTGGCAAGCTAAGAATCACAGGTAATTCATGATATTGACAGCTGCTTGCAGGCAAGCTTGAGACTAGTGAGTGTGATAGTTTTCAGCTGTATTTCTGGCTGTCAGAGGTGCACTACAAAAAGGAGGGGTTTTAAACTTCCAGAAGAAAGAAAAAAGCCTGGTACCCAAGTTTGTATATTTGAAACTGGAGACTAACTTGGGTTAATCCTGTCTCTGACAGAAGAAGATAATAAAATTAGAGCCACGACCTTGGGAGCAGAACTGGATAGACAAATTTTATGTGAAGTTTCTTCTGTGACCTTGTACCTGATAATGGCACTTGTTATGGAATTTTGTGACAGATTGTTGGTGACCATTGCCAGTGAAGACCCCACCCAGGGAGGTAAAAATTAATGAAGGGGAATCAGCATCTGTGGCAACGATGTTGAAGATAGATGTCTAACCTTTGAGTTTTCCAGAATGGGGTACAAGTAGATCTCTCCATTCTTAGGGATGGCATGTGGTATCACAGACACCAGGGGAACAATTACATTTCTCTTGTTGAGCTGGTTAACCTCCCAAAACCTTGGTTGGGATGAACAGGAATTTAGGACAGATACCAGAACAATAAAGAAAAATGTTTCATTGAAGCTGTCAAACTGAGTAAGGGAATCTACTGGTAGACTTTTTAAAGACCTTTCTATTCAATTCAACTTTGTTAGTATTTATCATAAATGACTAACAACCAATTGAAAGAAAAACCTTTATTTGTTGTGTACTTCACATTCCCTAATCCTGCAAGAAGGGATGATACTTCGGTTCTATTGAGAGAACACTATAGTTTCTTCCTTATTAGGTGCAATAATTTATTTTAAGCAAAAAATTACCATACTGTTACTACTTATATACTCAATTTCATGTTAGAGTTAACAACAGCAAGAGCTGGTCTTTAAAAATCCGCTCTGTCACTCCTGTGGCCCTACAAGTAATATAATTTATAAAAAGGAACAGTAGACTTCATCAACTAAAAAGCAAGGATTATTTTAAAAACCAAAACTTGCATGATAAACAGTTCAGGCTTTCTTACCACAAAGAAGTCTTTAGACCTTAAATTCTGGTAAAATTTACCTTTATAGTTATTATATATTTTTTAACTGTATAGTCATCATATATTTGTTAACTGTATGCTGTTTTGTGATTGACTTGTTTTATGTCTTTTAAGTACTTTATTGTTTGTTTATTTTTTAATATAAGCACAAGTAGGTAGGATGTTCCTGCGTATTGCTTTGAAAGGAAAAAAATGCAGATGATTTAACAAAATATACCCTTTAAGACTTATGAAATCTGTGGTTGCCATTTCTCTTTTCTTAGGTACACACAGAAAGGCTGTCTCCCTGTAACTGTGTAGGAAAGGACAAACCAAACCACTGTAATGCCATAGCAGAACCCTAACAGAAATGTGAAAAAAGGCATACATATTCAGAGAAAATTAATGTTGTGATGTTTGTACCAGTGGGATTGTTATTTCTACAAATTTATCATTGTTTTAAAGCACACAGTAAGATCAAAAATATAGCTTCTTAATTTTTCCTGTCTCCTAAATCAAAAAGAATACCGAATTGCCTATGGCCATAGTTGTTATTGCAAATGAACTGAAAAAGAGCATCAGAATGGATGCCCTTGTATGGATGCTGCTTTTTTAAATGTTTGGGGATACATTTGGTTACAGGTCAAGATCCATGACTCACTGGCATATGCTTAATTTTAAGCACATTAATAGTTTAAACAACTATAATGGGATTATTCAGATGTTTATTATAAGTGTTTTGCTGGGTTGGCAAAATTAATGGATTGAACTATACATGCAAAATAAAAACACCTTCGCAAATATCCTTTTCCTGCCTTGATTAATTCTGCCTAAAGCCTCAAAATGGTCCAACCTCAAAATATGACTGTGTTTCTCATGGTTCTTAAGTCCACTGTAAATAATTTATTACATCCCAAGTTCTCTACATACTTTTTGAAAATTTAGTTATGATAAATATTTTCACATCTTTCTAAGGAAATTCTACCTGTGAGGTTGAAAATATATTCCTTTCTCTCAGGAAAGAAGCTTCATCTTTATTTTTAGAGTCACTAATATTGCTATATGATAGAAGACAGATAAATGTAAACATCTTATATATTCCTTCACTTGAGAGAAAATACACATTTCATTTTCCTCTCCAGCTGTTTCACTTCTGTTCATGTCTTCTTTGGATATATAAGGAAAATATCATAACTGTAGCTTCCCATTTTACGTAATCTAATTTGAGCCTCATGACACATTTTATTAGGACTTCTAGATGATTGCTTAGATCTTATAAGACATTTATATTTTTCTTTAATCTTTAGAAGTCATAAATGCTAATCGTCAATTCATATACCTAATCTTTAGCTTTGCTATGTAAAAAATAGTCTTCTTTATGTAAAGCTTGATTCATCAAATTTTCCATTACATCTTTCCAAATAATTATAGAAGTGATGGTATGCTAAGCAGTAAAGCCAATGGATTTTATCTAAAATATATTTAGAACACCTGGGTCATTTGTACCACTTTTAAATAGAGAAGGTATTGCTTTGCTATGGGAGATGCAGCATGATAAATAACTACTAGAAAAATTATGGTTCAAGATTCAGTAAGATACTGCTTAAAGCTGGAGATGCAATCGTCCATCCAGGTGAGAAAGTTCATGTTAAGAGTCACTTCACAGATCTGATATGCACAAGTGAATCTTTGGCAAGAGAAGAAGCACGCAAAGCCAATCAGGTCCATGAAGAGTAAATACAAAAGAAGGAAAAAAAATCTGCCAGGCTTAAAAATTTTGACAATAGACTTCTGTTTTTATCCTTTCACTTTGCCCATTTAGATGGTGATCTACTCAGTTTTCACGTATATAATGAATGGCCAGTGCATAGACACACAAAGGCCATACTGTTTCCACGGTGAGTTGAATATACCCTGAAGAGATCAGATCTAAAGCACATACACAGTAGGTTTACCTATGTTTGTGCTGAATTTTTCCCAAGGTGCCTCAAAACATGCTGTGCTTCTACACAGCAAGTTCACATATGTGCATATATATGCCTCCAAAGCTAATAGTCTCGAATCCACTAATTCTGGAGAACAGACTAATAGTTAAAGCAGTCTGGTACCACAGCTCTGACTAGGAACACAGCATTGCCACTGGGTAGTAACCTGGGTATGTCCTGTATCTTCAACATTTTTTCTGGGGCACTGCTGATCTCTGTCACCTCTAACTCTTGGCACATCTAGAGTCATGCCTTCAGCCTTTGACCTCCATGGGTGATGTCATGACACAAACACAAGCAGCGCCAGAGTTTCGTTGCAATTTGAGGCCCTATATGGCTGATGTAGCTCCTCCCAACCAACACATTCACAATACATAAACCTGGGGAAAGGCTGGTGGCAAATCAAACAGCAGCAAAACTGTGTATGTGGAAAATAGTGTTCTCCCCAGTTTCATCCTAGACCCTTTAGACAGATTTCTGATAAGCAGGTGGGGCAGGTGCTACTTCTCCAAATGCAGAGTATGGCACCTTACTAAGGAGAAACACAAAACTTAGTAAGTTTGTACCTCTCAAAAGTTCTAACTACTTAAAATAGAAGATACAAAAGGTTTTTCTGACTCTGATCCTTCTCATAAGCTGACATTTGCATGGTGTTTAGTCAGGAGAAATATATCAACTTGAACAACCTTAGTATGTAGGCCACAATACTGCTAGCTGAGTGATAAAATCCATAGAAAGTTAACTAAAGCTAATCAGCCTAAAGAAGAGAGAAAATATTTAGGCTGGTCGTTAGAAACATTCGCTGAAAAAATTATACACTATCCTGTGGAGTGATTTCCTGAGGGAAATGATGGGAATGCCATCAAAAGAGCTTTTAACTGAACTTGACAAAAAGAAATGTGCTTCAGGAAAAATCCTGTATGCATACTATGCCAAAGAAATGTGCTGAGTACATTTCTATTTCTTGGATTTCTCTGATTCTGCATCAATTTGTGCTATGTATTGGAAAAAAATTGCTTTAAATATGTAAGCTGACTGTGAAAACCCAAACAAAATTTTCATCATTCTTGCATAATCTTTTTAGATCATCCCTGATGGAAAGAAAGAATTGGGGAATTTGTTCAAATTACCACAAGTAGTTTCTTAAGTTTTTATCTTAACAGTAAAGATTTAGTAGGTGTACTTAACCCTTAAATTAATCTAGTTCTTTATTCTCTTCCAAATCAGAGTTAAATATTCCTGGCCTTCTTGCTTTAACTTCCTTTGTGTAAATTGGAAAAAAAACTTCATTCTACATGCATCATTATTACGTTATTTCAAAACTCTGAAATCTAGTAACAGTAACTTGGTGTAAAACTCCTTTCCTCAGATGATATTCAGAGCCAAATAAGAGGGAGATCAAAAATATTAAAACGCATGTGACTCATCAATACAGAGAGCAAATTTCCTGTGGTTTCAGATTGTGTTGAAAGATCTCACTACAGAGAAGCTGAGCCAGAATTATTCTTGACTGTCTTGCTTTTCTCCCTCTCTCTGCTCTTTTCCATATCTTTTCTTGCTCATTTGTGATTTAAAAATTATCTGTTCTCTAATGGAATTACAATCTCCATGTCATTAGGTTGTCAACTTCTGGGAAGATTTCTGAGACTGTGCTTAA